CCTAGATGGTTGAGTCCCCCAACATTATTGGTGTACGTGGTGGGATCTAGATGGTTGAGAACTCCCAACATTATTGGTGTACGTGGTGGGATCTAGATGGTTGAGTACTCCCAACATTATTGGTGTACGGGGTGGGACCTAGATGGTTGAGTCCTCCCAACATTATTGGTGTACGTGGTGGGACCTAGATGGTCGAGTCCCCCAACATTATTGGTGTACGTGGTGGGATCTAGATGGTTGAGTCCTCCCAACATTATTGGTGTACGTGGTGGGATCTAGATGGTTGAGTACTCCCAACATTATTGGTGTACGGGGTGGGACCTAGATGGTTGAGTCATCCCAACATTATTGGTGTACGTGGTGGGACCTAGATGGTTGAGTCCCCCCAACATTATTGGTGTACGTGGTGAGACCTAGATGGCCGAGTCCTCCCAACATTATTGGTGTACGTGGTGGGACCTAGATGGTTTAGTCCCCCCAACATTATTAATGTACGTGGTGGGACCTAGATGGTTGAGTCACCCCAACATTATTGATGTACGTGGTGGGACCTAGATGGTTGAGTCCCCCCAACATTATTGGTGTACGTGGTGGAATCTAGATGGTTGAGTACTCCCAACATTATTGGTGTACGGGGTGGGAACTAGATGGTTGAGTCCTCCCATGTACGTTATTGGTGTACGTGGTGGGAACTAGATGGTTGAGTTCCCCCAACATTATTGGTGTACGTGGTGGGAACTAGATGGTTGAGTCCTTCCAACATTATTGGTGTACGTGGTGGGATCTAGATGGTTGAGTACTCCCAACATTATTGGTGTACGGGGTGGGACCTAGATGGTTGAGTCCTCCCAACATTATTGGTGTACGTGGTGGGATCTAGATGGTTGAGTCCCCCCAACATTATTGGTGTACGTGGTGGTATCTAGATGGTTGAGTCCTCCCAACATTATTGGTGTACGTGGTGGGATCTAGATGGTTGAGTCCTCCCAACATTATTGGTGTACGTGGTGGGATCTAGATGGTTGAGTACTCCCAACATTATTGGTGTACGTGGTGGGACCTAGATGGTTGAGTCCTCCCAACATTATTTGGTGTACGTGGTGGGATAGATGGTTGAGTCCCCCAACATTATTGGTGTACGTGGTGGGATCTAGATGGTTGAGTCCTCCCAACATTATTGGTGTACGTGGTGGGATCTAGATGGTTGAGTCCTCCCAACATTATTGGTGTACGTGGTGATCTAGAACATTATTGGTGTACGTGGTGGGACCTAGATGGTTGAGTCCTCCCAACATTATTGGTGTACGTTATTGGTGTACGTGTACGTGGTGGGACCTAGATGGTTGAGTCCTCCCAACATTATTGGTGTACGTGGTGTGACCTAGATGGTTGAGTCCTCCCAACATTATTGGTGTACGTGGTGGGATCTAGATGGTTGAGTCCCCCCAACATTATTGGTGTACGTGGTGGGATCTAGATGGTTGAGTCCTCCCAACATTATTGGTGTACGTGGTGGGATCTAGATGGTTGAGTACTCCCAACATTATTGGTGTACGTGGTGGGATCTAGATGGTTGAGTCCCCCCAACATTATTGGTGTACGTGGTGGGATCTAGATGGTTGAGTACTCCCAACATTATTGGTGTACGTGGTGGGATCTAGATGGTTGAGTCCTCCCAACATTATTGGTGTACGTGGTGGTATCTAGATGGTTGAGTCCTCCCAACAATATTGGTGTACGTGGTGGGATCTAGATGGCTGAGTCCTCCCATGTACGTTATTGGTGTACGTGGTGGGATCTAGATGGTAGAGTCCTCCCAACATTATTGGTGTACGTGGTGAGACCTAGATGGTAGAGTCCTCCCAACATTATTTGTGTACGTGGTGGGATCTAGATGGCTGAGTCCTCCCATGTACGGTATTGGTGTACGTGGTGGGATCTAGATGGTTGAGTCCTCCCAACATTATTGGTGTACGTGGTGGGATCTAGATGGTTGAGTTTTCTGTGATATATTTCGTCAGATTTCGAGATATACACTAGTTACATCGAACCGGAAGTGGATTGTTCGCGTTGCAGAAACCCAGACTTATAAGGTTCAAGCTAGCACATTCTGCCACTGAGAAATAAATAGGTGTAAAAACCGCTGTTTGCATGCAGAACAGTCCAAAGCCATTTTTCTTAATTAACACCGATCTCTCCGAGAGTAACTGCGGTCTCTTTATGGTATCTTTTAATGGACCGCAGTGCACTGTGGGAGATTTTTGTATAGCAGGTGTATTTATGTCGCATACTCGTGTTTAGCTGGTATTCACGTACTTCATCAATAACCCAAATCCAGTAATTGTTCCTCTGTGAATTCGGATTTCAATACAGATTCTGCCCTCTCTCCTATAATCTATCGGGCATGTCTAAAAGTCATGGTAGGTTCTAAACAAGACATATACCGAGACAATTGGTCTGAACAGTTCTGGCTACAGTTGTCATTGTGAATATTCCAAAAAATTAAACTCTCGACAGATTAGTGGTAATGGTAGGTTTACAGCCATAATTATAGAGAGATTCCGTGTAGTAGCGGCCATTTTCAACATGCTGGGGCGTAAGTTATTGAAACAAATGAGTGGAAATACTTAGTTTACAACATTTAATTGCTTTGACACAGATACAAAATATTTTTTTAACAAATTTTTTATCTTTCCGTCACTGTGTGATTTTTGACCATTGCCCGAATGAATTTGGTGCTTTATAAAGGGAGGAATTCAGACTAACGGTCCGCATAAATCGCGGATAGTTAGTGAGAACTGTTCGAACTACGAGACAGCGTGCTTAATCCATCATTGCCCTTGTTAATTTACTCCTTTCAGTATTCTGATTCAGGATTGATAAGCAGTAGAGTAAGGTAGAAACCTTTTTTTTCCTTTTACAATTGCGGAAAAAATATTCTAACTTGTGCCTATTAGTCTAGTTTGCCCGGATGGATGCTCACGAGGGGTTTATTGTTGGAGGAAACCAGAGTACCTGGGGAAAACAGACGTGGTCAGGCAAAAGACTGACCTTTCAACGTCCGTTCGGGGAATCAAGCCCCGGACGTCTGTGTGAAATACGAATGTGTTACCACCACACCACCCGACCACTATGGAGTGACGTATCATAGCAACATTGCCTGAACTACCCGGTCACCAGACTATTGATCAAAACGATAAGGGTATACTTTTCTTTCTTTTTCATTTGCTTGTTTTGTATCCAGGATAGGGACGAACACAAACACTGCAATATGGATATTCATCTCTGATTAGTTCATAGGTAAAAAGGTTTGCTGTATCACATAATTTCATGGATACCCGGTATAACTACCCACATGTACCGCGTGGAGGGCTGTCTGATAGGCTCATGATTATTTTCGTCAGTTTCCAAAAATCTTAAAAAAAAAAAAAAAAAACTCGTGTAGGACTTTCAGCCAGTCAGTACACCAAACGTAATATCATCTATATGATGGATGTACGTTTGAATTTGAATGTCATACAACAGAGTTACAATGCAATTGTGGTGATTGTGATTTTATGTTGTACACTTTTCCCCAGACACTTTACCGTCTGCAGTGGTATTGGATGGGAGAGGAGGTCTAGCGTAGCACGAGAACCTCCCGAGGAGGTGAACATAATAAACACATTTTATCAGTCCTAGCACGTGTAAATATTTAATTTAAGAAGAACACACATGTAGAGAGGAGGCTGAAAGGCAGTTTCATATTTCGGCTACCGTCAGATGCGGAACTACAAAAACTAACTGAATGCACACAGACTCGAGTCCAAAGGAATCTTGAGCCAGTATCTGTAACGTACTGGTTAAGTGGCCACATGTCTCTAACGACTTGTGAGATGAAGTGACGGAAAGTTAATCGAGTCTTCGTCCTGACCTCTATAGTGGTAACAATTGTGTTGGTGATATTTACATATAACCCTACTGTTGTGTTAAAAAGACTTTGTAAATAACAACATATACAGCAGAAAGACTGCGCTGTCATAACTAAAGGCATACAGGAAAGAAAGGTTGTGTTGTCAAAAGTGATGATGCATGGGTTACAGAGGATACGCGGTTCAAAGTTGAAAAACATGTCACAGAGAATACACGGGTCACAAAGGATGCACGGGACACAGATGATGCACGGGTCACAAAGGATGCACGGGACACAGATGATGCACGGGTCACAGAGAATGCACGGGTCACAGAGGATGCACGGGTCACATAGGATACACGGGTCACAGAGGATGCACGGGACACAGATGATGCACGGGTCACAAAGAATGCACGGGTTACATAGGATGCACGGGTCACAGAGAATGCACGGGTTACATAGGATGCACGGGTTACATAGGATGCACGGGTCTCAGAGGATGCACGGGTCATAAATGACCAAACATTGGTCACAAAGGTTGTCTCACCACAAAATTAAACACTGACTTACATGTTACAAAAGCCGTTTTGTCACTGATTTCGGCCTACATGTCATAGATGTTGTTCACCGTGTGTACCGTACTAATCACCGTGTGTACCGTAATGATCACCGTGTGTACTAATCACCGTGTGTACCGTACTGATCACCTTGTGTACCGTACTGTTCACCTTGTGTATCGTACTGATAACCGTGTGTACCGTACTGATCACCGTGTGTACCGTACTGATTACATTGTGTACCGTACTGATCACCGTGTGTACCGTACTGATCACCGTGTGTACCGTACTGTTCACCGTGTGTACCGTACTGATCACCGTGTGTACCGTACTGTTCACCGTGTGTACCGTACTGATCACCGTGTGTACCGTACTGTTCACCGTGTGTACCATACTGATTGTGTACCGTACTGATCACCGTGTGTACCGTAATGATCATCGTGTGAACCGTACTGATCACTGTGTACCGTACTGGTCATCTTGGGATGTAATCAATAAGTTAGGACGAAAATCCTCTACGTTTTGCGTCATAGATAAGGCACAAATTAAAATGGAAACCCTTTCCCGTTTATTGTGATATCAGAAATAGTTCCACCATTACATATCCTGTGTTGACTTATTACATAAATCTTCACACGTTCATTACACATCCTTCTCGCACGCATTCATAAAACATTCACGATTTGCACTAATGAGACATGTTCTCCTCACGTCTGTATCGGCGATACGCACCTCGTTCTGTATAGCTCCGTACACATATTGGCCCGGACATAAATACAATTTATGTTTATGTAAAAATAGAATTGTATCTCTAGCAGATCTTGTGCATGCACTCTCCTGTATATCAACATAACACAGATTTATGTTATTTATAGCAACAGAGATTGGCAAAGTTTACAAATAAATAAAATTATGTAAATAAATTTCCTTCATTTAAATAGAATCACATTTCCTGAGCATTTATTCCAGACATCCTTCACGTGCAGAATTTGGACAAACCCTTCTTTGATCAACGATTTACGTCAAACCTTTTCAGTAGCAAAAAAAAGGAGTAAATTCGAGATGTTTACACAAGTATTGTAAACCCTGTCAATGCTATAGTCCTAATAAAGACATAGACATCTAATTTACATTGTACCATCTAGAATACGTGACGTTTCGGTAACGGTATCTGATCACACACCAAGTCACAACACCCGATGTTTGTTGTGGTAGTAAAATTTCCCTACTAAGAAAGACGTTCCACTGAATATTTCGATACCTGAATGAGAGGTCAAAATGTCAATTCTATAGCTGACGTAATACTGGAGACACGGACATCGTGACAAAGAAGGTGTATGGAGTATCATTCTATTTTCATCATTGGCTTACTTCTTCTCTTTTGTTTGTTGTTGTTGTCAATATGCGTTATTTTGGTACCCCCATTCACAGTGTTTGGTACCACACTCACCTTTCCGTCATTATCCTGTCTCACGGTGAAGGCATATCGTTGCCACACATTTTTCACCAAAGTAAATAAGAATTTCATCACAAACATAACGATTTTAAGAAATTTTGACCACATATTTTGTAACTTAGTAGTGATGACTGTTTGAAGGTACAACTCGGCATGGACACGACTGTACATTTCCATGGTAAGCATGCGGACAATGCTTATATCTTTGGCAACGTCTACAGGTAACTCCATTTGTTTCGTCAAAGAAAAAACATCGGCACCAAACACAAGTAACAAACTGGAGATCTGTAGGAATCCACATGCTGAGGCGGTGTGTAAGGGACTAAATCCGTGCACGTCCTTTGCATTCACATCCGAGTTACCACACAATAACATTTTGACGGCGTCCAGATTGTTGCTGAGAACGGCGTGGTGGAGCGCGGTCAGTCCGACGTGGTTTGTTTGGTTTATGTTAAATTCACCCCTCCGGTTGTGCAAGATATGGCACAATTCACACACGTCACCATCTTGTATAACAGCGCTGAGAACCGAATCAGCTGGAAAGGTGATTTTCCGAGCGTTTCCGCTGGGCATGGTGACGAACTAGCAATGATACTTAAAAACCTTTCAATTAGTTAAATTGATTTTTAGAGAATGTATTTACTTAAGTACAAAGTATTACATTGGCTCGTTAGTGTCCAGTGTTGAATCATATTACATGTTTTCGTGTAAGATAAGGCGCCCTTTGATCAGCGACGCCAGAGCATTGCAATAAGAACTCCTAGAATGACCATATTCTTAAACACATAATTGTGCTCCGATTTCATCCATGCTTTTTACCGGAGAATAGTCATTAGTCAATCTTAATCCTCCTCCAGCTACGAGATCCGCTTAATTAACAGTACAAGGCCATTTATTTAAGACCTTTACCAGCCGCACGCCGAACTCGTGTTTTCATTAGATGCTTTCTACACTAACTCTTATATAAACTGTCGCTCTTAACAATCCTAATCACAGTTGAACCAAGGCAGACAACGATCGAAGTCTCCTCCTCAATCAGCAATTGGCAGACGACATATTTCCTTGTGGATAACTTTCCAACAAACCTGTCTGCCAGAATGGTACGCTGATTATCTCTATCCAGCACGCGGCCCGTTCACTCACCAACACAACGTAATCGGCTGCTCTGCACAGTGGTTTGACCTTTAACCCCATGCAATGTTCATCTCTCGGGGAAGCGCGTCTAGTTTTACTTTACTATAAAGAATGTATACATGCACCGGTTTAGCAGGCGAAACTTCTAATGAGTCGTGTTTTTGCATAAATATACTACACCGTAGTACGCCGAAAGATAAATATTGTAGATTTTGTTTCGGCCCGAAATCTCTCGTGACTACTGTTAACAGAAGTTATTTACGGAGAGTAAGTTTATAAAAATATGATTTAGCACGCAACCTAAGAGCTAACTACATCCCGCCCTACGAAACCACGTGCTGCCATTTGATATCCAGACCGGCTCTTTTATACCATATATACAGAGACGTATATATCACTGAGTAGACTTCGACCTTGACTGGACGTAGTATGGACTTCCGGATCTGTGTTGTGTCGGATCTAAAAAGAGAAAAGCAGAGTATTAAAATCATTAGACACTAGACGTACACTAGTCACAAACAAGTCAGACACTAACCTGCCTCAAGACACCGCCAAAATCTAGAATAAAACTGGACCATAACAACATATTAAACACTAACAAGACACTGGACATTAGCAAAACACTGGGACTAATCCGGGTCATACTAGATATTGGGCACAAACCAGACACTAGACACCAGCACCTCACTGGAATTAGTCCGGGTCATACTAGACACAGGACACTAGCACCTCACTGGAATTAATCCAGGTCATACTAGACACAGGATACTAATAAGACACTAGACACTAGCACCTTACCGGAATTAATCCGGGTCATGCTAGACACAGGACACTAACCAGACACTAGACACTAGCACCTCACCGGAATTAATCCGGGTCATATTAGACACTGGACACTTACCAGACACTAGACACTAGCACCTCACTGGAATTAAGCCGGGTCATATTAGACACTCGACACTGACCAGACACTAGACACTAGCACCACACCGGAATTAATCCGGGTTATACTAGACACTGGACACTAACAAGACACTAGACACTAGCACCTCACCGGAATTAATCCGGGTCATGCTAGATACAGGATACTAACAAGACACTAGACACTAGCACCTCACCGGAATTAATCCGGGTCATACTAGACACAGGACACTAACCAGACACTAGACACTAGAACCTCACCGGAATTAATCCGGGTCATACTAGAAACAGGACACTAACCAGACACTAGACACTAGAACCTCACCGGAATTAATCCGGGTCATACTAGACACTGGGCACTTACCAGACACTAGACACTAGCACCTCACTGGAATTAAGCCGGGTCATATTAGACACTCGACACTAACCAGACACTAGACACTAGCACCTCACCGGAATTAATCCGGGTCATACTAGACACTAGACACTAACCGTACCTTGAAAATGAAGCCGTACCATAGTTAGACATTGGTTACTACCTCGCACACTTGAATTAAACCGGATTATAGCTGGACACTGGATACAAGCCACACAGTGTAATTAAACCGGATTATAGCTGGACACTGGATACAAGCCACACAGTGTAATTAAACCGGATTATATCTGGACACTGGATACAAGCCACACAGTGTAATTAAGTCGGGTTATATCTGGACACTTGATACAAGCCACACAGTGTAATTAAGTAGGATTATAGCTGGACACTGGATACAAGCCACACAGTGTAATTAAGTCGGATTATAGCTGGACACTGGATACAAGCCACACAGTGTAATTAAACCGGATTATAGCTGGACACTGGATACAAGCCACACAGTGTAATTAAGTCGGGTTATATCTGGACACTTGATACAAGCCACACAGTGTAATTAAGTAGGATTATAGCTGGACACTGGATACAAGCCACACAGTGTAATTAAGTCGGATTATATCTGGACACTTGATACAAGCCACACAGTGTAATTAAGTAGGATTATAGCTGGACACTGGATACAAGCCACACAGTGTAATTAAGTCGGATTATATCTGGACACTTGATACAAGCCACACAGTGTAATTAAGTAGGATTATAGCTGGACACTGGATACAAGCCACACAGTGTAATTAAGTCGGATTATATCTGGACACTGGATACAAGCCACACAGTGTAATTAAGTAGGATTATAGCTGGACACTGGATACAAGCCACACAGTGTAATTAAGTCGGATTATAGCTGGACACTGGATACAAGCCACACAGTGTAATTAAACCGGATTATAGCTGGACACTGGATACAAGCCACACAGTGTAATTAAACCGGATTATAGCTGGACACTGGATACAAGCCACACAGTGTAATTAAGTCGGGTTATATCTGGACACTTGATACAAGCCACACAGTGTAATTAAGTAGGATTATAGCTGGACACTGGATACAAGCCACACAGTGTAATTAAGTAGGATTATAGCTGGACACTGGATACAAGCCACACAGTGTAATTAAGCTGGATACAAGCCACACAGTGTAATTAAGCTGGACTAAGTCACTGATCATTAGCTACACGATGGCATTAACCCACACTGGACACTGGTTGTGTATAGAAGTAAAGTTGGCTATAGCTATAGAATTAAGCCGAGCTAAAATTAAGCATTAGCCGCACATTTAAATGAAGCCGGACTATAGCCAGACAATAGACTCTAGCTAGACATTGAAATTCGTTCAGATTCTGGAAACAAGTCAGACCTAAGCAAGACATTGTATCTTAGCTAGAAAACAAACGAGGCCGTGGGACACAAAACCAGCAATGACAAATAGCCATGAACTGGACATAAGCCGGACACTTGCTAGGCGCTGTATAGCCGAACTGTAGCTTTACAGTAGCTAAACACTGGCTTAACACTAGCCAGACATGGGACTCTAGACACTTGCTGTTTCCTGGAGATCAAATTCCACAGGAGGCGACTAATGTGGAAAGGTTGTGGTGTTACAATCATAAGATTCTACTGCACCAGTTGCAACATAGTGTCCTATCTCCGTCTTCACCAATAGCACATCCATTTTGTCTTGGGTCTTAAAACGTCCGTTTTCAACTATGTTCAGTTATATCCATTTTGTCACGCGTTCTTAGAAGTCCGCCTTCAGCTTTTTCTCTCGCGGCCTCAAACGCACCTCATTACATGATATTGCAGTTGCCGAGAAAGTTAAAACAGTGGAAAACAGCAAAGAAAAACATGATTGGAGTTATTTTCAGGGAATTGTAGAGCCTTTTTGATAAACATTGGCTTTCTCGGTCATACCCAAATCAGCAGCCACTGACTGGCAGACAACAGATATTAACGACTCAGTGTGAGTACCCGCTAATGAAACCGTTGCCCAACCCTTTTTGAAGTCTCATTAACGTACACAATTCATTAAGGCGATCGGTGCGCTTCCGGAATACTAATGAGTGTTATTGTAGTAATCTAGGCTGTGGTATTTATGTACTTAATTACTGGGAAACAAAATGTTGTATTTGGAGCAACGTGTTGTCAGTATCCTAAAACTGAGAAACATTACGCTGGCTATACTTAACAATTGCCTAATACATGTTGTCTGTACTCTGACATGTTGTCTGCTGTCTAACACTGGGAAAAAACATGTTGTCTGTATTCTGACACTGGGGAACAACATGTTTTCTGTATTCTGACACTGGGGAATAACATGTTGTCTGTACTGTAACACTGGGGAACAACATGTTGTCTGTACTCTAACACTGAGGAACAACATGATGTCTGTACTCTAACACTGGGGAACAACATGTCGCTGTACACTAACACTGGGGAATAACATGTTGTCTGTACTCTAACACTGGGGAACAACATGTTGTCTGTATTCTAACACCGAGGAACAACATGCCGCTGTACTCTAACACCGGGGAACAACATGTTGTCTGTACTCTAACACTGGGTAACAACATGTTGTCTGTACTCTAACACTGAGGAACAACATGTTGTCTGTACTCGGACTGTGGGAAACAACATGTTGTCTGTACTCTAACACTAGGGAACAACATGTTGTCTGTACTCTAACACTGAGGAACAACATGTTGTCTGTACTCTAACACTGGAGAACAACATGTTGTCTGTACTCTAACACTGAGGAACAACATGTTGTCTGTACTCTAACACTGGGGAACAACATGTTGTCTGTACTCTAACACTGGGGAACAACATGTTGTCTGTACTCTAACACTGAGAAACAGCATGTTGTCTGTACTCGGACTGTGGGAAACAACATGTTGTTTGTACTCTAACACTGGGGAACAAACATGTTGTCTGTACTGTGACACCGAGGAACAACAACATGTTGTCTGTACTCTAACACTGGGGAACAACATGTCGCTTTACTCTAACACCGGGAATAACATGTTGTCTGTACTCTCACACTGGGGAACAACATGTTGTTTGTACTCTAACACCGGAGAACAAACATATTGTCTGTACTGTTACACTGAGGAACAACATGTTGTCTGTACTGTGACACTGAGGAACAACATGTTGTCTGTACTCTAACACTGGGTAACAACATGTCGCTTTATTCTAAAACCGGGGAACAACATGTTGTCTGTACTCTAACATTGTCGAACAACATGTTGTCTGTACTCTAACACCGGAGAACAAACATGTTGTCTGTACTGTTACACTGAGGAACAACATGTTGTCTGTACTGTGACACTGAGGAACAACATGTCTGTACTCTAACACTGAGGTACAACATGTTGTCTGTACTATAACATTGTCGAACAACATGTTGTCTGTACTCTAACACCGGGGAACAACATGTTGTCTGTACTCTAACATTGTCGAACAACATGTTGTCTGTACTCTAACACCGGGGAACAACATGTTGTCTGTACTCTAACACTGGGACAACATGCCGTCAGCACTCAAACATCGGGGAACAACATGTTGTCTGTACTCTAACACTGGGGAACAACATGTTGTCCGTATTCTAACACTGGGGAATAACATGTTGCCTGTACTCTAACACTAGGGAACAACATGTTGTCTGTACTC